TTTTTTTTTTTTTTTTTTGCCAATGGATCTTTTTAAAATTAAATTTATTAGTACGTTTTAGGTGAACAATATAATGACATGCATCGTTGGAGACTTGCACCTTTACATAATACATCTTGATTCTTACTTCCCCATACCCCTGCCCTCCCTTCAACCCCTCTACTCCTCCCTATTCACAAAGACTTTGTTTCAATTTTTTCATTTTACCATGTTAATTCCATTCCATTCTTTCCTTTTCCCCTACCCTTCCTACTTTCCCTTCCCCTTTGCACATTTTCTTGCTATTTCATATTATCTACCATACATTTTGATCCTTATTTACCCTTTTAGTTTCTCGCACCAGAGAAATTATTTGGTATTTACACATGTGCATCTCATTTATTTCACTTAAGCGTATGGCTGCAATGTGCATCCATTTAGCTATAAATGACTCTCGTTTCCAATTCTTTATGGCTGAGCAGTACTTCATTGTATTAAAAAAAACATTTGCTTTATTCAGTCACCAGTTGATGGGCAAATGTACTGTTTCCATGTTTTAGCTATGCGTGCTGCTACAAACATCAGCGCACATATATCACTGCTGCATGATTCATTTAATTATATTGGGAAGGTACCCAGCAGGGGAATCGCTGGGTCGAATGGGATCTCTAGTCCTAGTTCTTTGAAGTATCTCCATAGTGATTTCCACAGTGGCTGCGTGAGTCTACACTACCACCTACAGTGGAGAAGGCCAGTGGACCTTCACCAGTGTGATCCTTTTTCATGTTGCCTGTTGCTTGATGTCCCATTGGAGGGAGCTATGGTGAAGTTCAGTGCTACTGAAAACCCCATCAGGTACGAAATGGAGTCGTCCAGGGTGTGCCTCTGTGAACACTGCAACAAACGGAGAATACGTTGTGCGCTGACACTGTATTCTTCATCGTTGATATTTGGGTTTTTACACTGATATGACTGAAACCAGCAAATCGAGCCCTGTGTTGTCGCACACACCAAGACCCATAGCCAAACGGAATGGGGTTTTCCAGAATGAACTGTTTGTTCCTGTGCCAACCAAAATAAGGAACATGGCTTCATTACAGCTGAGGTATGTTTCATTGGGAACAAATTTCATACCTGTCTATTGATTTTGCCTAAGAGAGGCTGCAACTTGGAAAAACTTGTCCATCAGATCCAAATTTGCATTGTCATATTTTCAATGTGGTCACATCTCATGGCAACACGAATCACTACATCATCCAGTTGTCCTTATTTGCAGATGATATGACTCTTCCTTAGAGGACCCCAAATTTTTCGAAGATGTTGACTTCTTCCTTTCCTTTTAGTTCTTTCTTTTCCATGATTGCTATGGCTAAAATTGCAAGAGGTCCACAGTGGGAAAAGTGGATAACCTTATCCTGTTTCTAATTGCAGAAGGAAAGCTTTCAGTTTTTTGCCAGAGCAAAAATAAACAGCAAAATGAAAGATAATACAAAATAGGGAGATCGCTTATTCTCAAAGGGGAAGGAATTAAGAGGTGGTGGGGGGGAGAGAGGAAGGGAAAGGATACAGGATTAAAAAGAGCAATTGGAATGTGTAATGTACAGGTACCAACACCACACAAAGATTATACATATTATGTTCTGCAAACATGTACCAAAAAAGGACACAGCCAAGTAATGGCGGAAATGGGGAGTGAGGGAAAGGGATGGAAAAGCATTAAGATGTATGATTATGTACATGTGCAAGCCTCCCACAGAGAATGCAACTTTCATGTACTGCACACCAGTGCTAATAGTCTAAAATAAAATTAGAAAACAAAGTCAGCAAAGTGGCGGAATATAAACAAACACGTGAAAGTCAAGAAAACTATTGTTCAGTAAGAGCTAACTTAGAAAGAACTGAGGAAACGCATTCATTCATAGTACCTTCACAAACAGGAAAGTCTAAGAATTCACATAATCGAGCAAGTGAAGGCAGAAAGTGCAAAAGTTAGTGATCTGAAAAACCGGTACTGAAAGAGTTGTCTGAACAGAGATTGAAGAGATATTCTGTCCTAACATTATCTCATTATGCTTTGTATATTTTCTGTGGCATTTTTAATACCCTGGATATCTGATGAAATCTGTTCATGGATTACATTGATTTCCTATGTGAGGCAGTCATGGTTTCCACAATTTTCCTAACCACCCCTATTTAATTTTCCATGCTGTGAGTTATCTAGTCCCTCTTGCTGTGAAAAAGCTTTGTGATAAGATGAAGTCTTAGCTGCTAATTCTTTGTAGTATTTCCTGTGCGGTCTGGGTTTTGTTTATGAGGTCTTTGCTTACATCTATCTATTCTTTCTTGCAGGAGATTTAGTGCTTCTTTTTTTTTTTTTTTTTTTTTTTTTTTTTTTTTTTTTTGTACCTGGGATTGAACTCGGGTCCTTGTGCTTACAAGGCAGGCCACTGAACCGCTGAGCTACATCCCCAGTGCTTTTTTTAATATTTAGGCTTTTTGATCCATCTCTATTTTCAGCACATGGTGAAAGATATGGATCTAGTTTCAATCTTTGGGACGTGGAAAGCCAGTTTTTCCAGCACCAGTTACTAAAGAGACTCTTTCTTTCACTTAAGGTGTTTGGCTCCTTTGTCAAGATAAAGCGGTTGAGTATGTGTAGAGTTGTTTCTGCAACTTCTGATCTATTCTATTGATCTGCAGACCTTCGCTCTTACCAGTACCATGCTGTTTTTATCACAGTAGCTTAGTACTATAATTTCATTGCAGGGATTGTGATACCCTCTTTTTTGCTTTTGTTGCCCAGAATTGCCTTGGCTATACCAGGTCTCTTCTGGTTTCAAATGAATTTTAGGATTGTTTTTTCTAATTCTTTATGGAATTTTCATTGGGATTGCATTAAATCGGTATAATAATATTGGAAGTATGCCTGTTTTCATTATATTGGTTCTTCCTATCCAAGAATAAGGGATATCTTTCCATTTTCTGATATCCTCTTCAACCTCCTTTTTCAGAATATAGCACTTTTTAATGTAAAGAACTTTTGCTTCCTTTGTTCAATTGATTCCTAGGTATTTCATTTTTTTAGATGCAACTGTGAAAGGTGTTATTTCCCTAATTCCTCCCTCGGTCAGTTTGCTATTTGTGTACAGAAAGGCTATTGACTTTTTATTGAGTTTATTGGTACTTTTCAAGTATACAGTACAGTTACATTTATCATTGGGATCTTGTACCTTTATGTGACAGATCTTGGTTCTCATTTTTTCCCCATATCCCAGCCCTCCCTTCACCCCCTCCACCCTCCCCTGTTTACAAAGACTTTGTGTCCATTTTTTGCTTTTCCCATATTTTTGGCTTTTCCCTTATTTCCTTTCCCCTACCCTTCCCACTTCCCCTACACCTTTAGCCCTTTTCTTCCTATTTCACATTGCCAGTTATACAATTTTGATCTTATTCACACTTTTAGTTTTTCACACTAGAGAAACTGTTTGGTATTTACACGTGTGTCTTATTTATTTCACTTAAGAGTATGGCCTCAATATGCACCCATTTTCCTATGAATGACTCTAGTTTCTCATGCTTTGTGGCTGAGCAGTACTCCATTTTATAGAAAACCACATCTTCTTTATCCAGTCTCCAACTGATGGGTGATTGGGCTGTTTCCAAGTTTTAGCTATTACAAACTGTGCCGCTATAAATATGGGTACACATATATCAGTGTGGTATGATTCTTTTCATTCTTTTGGAAAGATACCCAGCAGAGGGATGGCAGAGTCAAATGGAACCTCTAGTCCTAGTTCTTTAAGGTTTCTCCATATGGATTTCCACAGTGGTTGCACAAGTCTGCACTCCCACTAACAATGAAGAAGGGTTCCTTTCTCCCCACAACCCCACCAACATTTGTTATTGGTTGATTTCTTGATAGCAGCCATTCTTTCTGGGGTGAAGTGGAATCTCAGTGTTGTTTTCATCTGCATCTCTTGAATGACCAGTGATGTTGAACATTTTTTCATAAATTTATTGACTCTTTTTTTTTTCAGCTTTAATTGAGTTTATTGGTACATTTTAAGGATACAGTACAGTTACATTCATTGTTGGGATCTTGTACCTCTACATGACAGGTCTTGATTCTCATTTTTTCCCCTTACCCCTGCCCTCCCTTCACCCCCTTCTCCCCTCCCCATCTACAAACACTTTATTTCCATCTTTTCATTATCTCACATTTTTTTCTTTTCCCTTATTACCCTTCCCCTACCCATCCCACCTTCCCTACACTTTTAGCTCCTTTCTTCCCATTTCTAAATGTCAGTAATCTTATTAGGATCTTACTTATTATTGCAGATTATTCACACCAGGGAAACTATTCGGTATTTACACATGTGTGACTTATTTATTTCACTTAGGAGTTTATTGACTCTTGAATGTTGAATTTGTATCCAGCTATGCTACTGAATTTGGTTATCAAATCTGGAAATCTTTTGGTTGCATTTTGCAGTATCTTTTATGTAGAGCATCATGTCATCTGCAAATAATGATAATTTTACTTCTTTCTTTCCTATCCTTATTCCTTTTATTTATTTCTCTTGCCTAATTGCTCTGGCTAATGTTCCCAGAACTATATTGCACAGAGTGGTGATGGTGGGCATCTGAAAGTTTTTGGGTTTTGACCATTTAGTATGATGTTGGCGGTTGGTTTGTCATAGATGGCTTTTATCAGATTGAGATCACCAATACCATCTATACCAATTTTCTGTAGGTTTTTTTTTTTAAATAACGAATTGGTATTGGAACTTGTCAAGTCCTTTTCCATATCTATTGAGTAGATCATATGGTTTTTGTGCTTGAACTGCTAATATAGTCTATTACATTTAGTGATTTGCTTATGTTGAACCACCCTGGAATCCCTGGTATTAATCGAACCTTTCCATGGTGTATATAAACTTCTTGATGAATTGCTGCAATCTCTTCTCCAGTGTCTTATTGAGAACTTTTGCATCTATGTTCATTGGGGGAGATTGGACTGTAATTCTCCTTTTTTGGTTTTTCCTTCTTTGGATTTGGTACCAGGATAAAGCTTGCTTCCAGGAATGAACTTGGGAGCATTGCTTCCCTTTCGATTTTATTAAACAGTTTGAGAAGCAGCGGCATTAGCATTTCTCTAAATCTTTTCTAGAATTCAGCAGTAAATCCTTCAGGACCTGAGCACTTCTTTATTGGTAGGTTTTAAATCACATCTTCAATTCCATTGACTGATACTGGTTTATTTAGAAATTTTTATCTTCTTGATTCATTTTTGGTAATTCATATGTATCTAGAAATCTGTTCATTACTTCTGTATTTTCACATTATTAGAACAAAGGTCCTTAAAGTAGGCCGTGGAGATCTTCTGGATTTCTGTAGGATCTGTTGAAATTTCACTTTTGTCATTCCTCCCATCCGAGTACTAACCAGGCCCAACCCTGCTTAGCTTCTGATATCAGACGACATGCGGTGCATTCAGGGTGGTATGGCCATAGACACTCTTTTCATTTCTAACACTAACCCTAAGTATGTCTGGAGTTGTTTCTACATCTTCTAACCTATTCTATTGATCTGCACACCTTCACTTTTGCCGGTACCACTCTGTTTCTATCACAATCGTTTTGTAATATAATTTCATGTCAGGGTTTGGGATACCCCCCTTTGCTTTCGCTGTCCAGAATTATCTTGGCTGTTCTAGGTCTCTTCTGGTTTCAAATGAATTTTAGGGCAGCTTTTTCATATTTTGTGAAACTGACTGTTGGAATTTTCAAAGAAATTGCATTACATCTAAGAATCTAAGATAAGAATTTTGGAACTATGCCCATTTTCACAATACTCATTCTTTTTTTTTTCTTTTATTGAGTCTATGGTTACATTCATCATTGGGATCTTGTACCTCTACATGACAGGCCTTGGTTCTCATCTTGTTCCCCTTGTGCCTGCTCTCCCTTTCTCCCCTACTCCCCTCCCCATTTACAAACACTTTATTTCCATTTTTTCATTTTCTCGTATTTTTTTCTTTCCCCTTATTACCTTTCCCCTACCCTTCCCACTTTCCCTACACCTTTATCCCTTTTCTTCCTATTTCACATGGTCAATGACCTCATTAGGATCTTATGTACTATTATAGTTTTTCATGCCAGAAAAACTATTCGGTATTTACACATGTGTGACTTATTTATTTCACTTAGGTTCTTCCTATCCAAGAACAAGAAATATCTTTCCTTTGGCTCGTATCCTTTGCCATCACCTTTTAAAGAACACTACATTTTTCAATGTAAAGGTCTTTTACTTCCTTTGTTAGACTGATTCCTAGGTATTTCGTTTTTCATAGATGCTACTGTGAAAGGTGTTCTTTCCCTAATTTCTCTCTCAGTCAGTTTGTTATTTGTGCACAGAAGGGCTACTGATTTTTGAGTGTTGGCTTTGTATCCAGCTATGCTACTGAATGTGGTAATCAAATCTAGCAATCTTTTGGAGGAGTCTTGTGGGTCTCTCCTGTAGAGTAACATATCATCAGTGAATAATGATAATTTAACTTCCTCCTTTCCTATGCTTATTCCTTTTACTGTTTTCTCTTGTCTAAGTGCTCTGCCTAATGTTCCCACAACTACATTGCACAGGAGTGGTGACAGTGGCCATCTTTATCATGTTCCCGATTTCAGAGTGAAAGCCTTCAGTTTTTCACCATTTAGTATGATGTTGGCTACGGGTTGGTCATAGATGGCTCTTATCCGATTGAGATAATCTATACCATGTATACCAATTTTCTCTAGGTTTTTTTTTAAATAATGAATGGGTGTTGGAACTTGTCAAATGCTTTTTCTGCATGTGTTGAGTAGATCACATGGGTTTTGGCCTTGGCTCTGTTAATATAGTATATTACATTTACTGATTTACATCGGTTGATCCATCCCTGCACCCCTTGATGAATCAAAGCTGGCCACAGTATGTAAACTTGCTGATGAATCACAGCATTCTCTTTTCCAGCATTATTGAAGACTTCAGCATCTATGTTCATTAGGGAGACTGGCCTCTAATTGTCGTTTTTGGTTGGATTCTTCTCTGGTTTTGCTACCAGGATAATGCTTGCTTCCAGGAATAAATGTAGGAGTATTACTTCCCATTCCCTTGCATGATAGATATGTCCTCAGAAATTGACAAAAGCAATTCTCCCTGTGTGGCATCTAATATGTCCCCATTTGGTGTGTCCATCCCCAGTGTTGCTATAAGCACACACAAACTAAAATATTGAAATAGAAAATCCATGAAAACAAAAAAAGCAAAGAGGAAAATATGTTTTTGATGCATAAAACCCTGAAAAGATTCTCAACCAGAATTTATCTAAAGTGATCTAAAATTTTTGTAAATAGGGAAGGGAGGAGGGGTTGAATGGAGGGCGGGGGTGTGGGGAAAAAATAAGAACCAAGATCTGTCATTTAAACGTACAAAGTCCCAGTGACAAATGTAACTGCACTGTATACCTAAAAAGTACAAATAAACTCAATGAGAAAAAATATATAAATGCGAATAACTTGACTAAAACATCCCCCAAATACAAATACAGAATGGATAAGCAGGAACCTCAAGTGGTGTGTGAATTAACGGTTAGAGCTAGTGAAGAAAACGACCACTTATGTGGGAAATGCAAACTCTTATACAGTCACGTATTTGGACTCTTGAATTTGGAAAATATAAACTCTTGAAAATGTTTCTATTTGAAAAGAGTTAGAGCCTTCTTCAGGCTTTGTTGATAGGAGTGTTACTTCGTGTGAAAATACTGATGCAAAAATTTGCAACACTTCCACAGGAAGCCAAAGAGGGAAAGGTGAAGATCTCTTCTAGATGCACGATCTCAGCAAACCGGCCCACCTGTTTGGATCGTGGCCACTACACTAGGGTTTCAATCGGGGAAAATGAGCAAGGGACAAACTCAGATTCATTCACAGGAGTGTTGGAACTAAGCCCTGTCTACCATCTCAACACAATTCTGAACTCTACTGCGTGTATCAGCACGAGTACAGAACAAACATAAAGTAGTGAAGAAAAATGAAGGCTGATCAACTCGTTGCACTAACTGCCATTTATGTAAATTTCTTATCACTTAGGGTGACACATTGCAAGACAATAAGTAAGAAAATAAACAGCCTTACCTGCATGTAGATTTCTAACCTATAAAAATTTCACACAATTTGGAGTAATTTTTATATTTTTATTGTAGTGTAGCATAGATGATACATGAATATTATGAAGAATTTCTCATGTAAATACTTTGAAATGAATAGGGTAACAGGTAATTTGTAACAAGTAGGCCATCAAAAATGTAAAGATTTGATCATTGGAGACTTCACAATGAGGTGATAGGTTTGATGCTATGACCTCCCAGGCATGCAGAAGTACAAGGTCAGGAAAACAGGTATCAGCATCCACAGAACTTCTAGAAATGTTCAACGTTATTCCCATGGGAACAGCTTTGGAGGAAATCCTGCCATGTTCTGCTGATATACTTCATCAAACTCTTCAGCTTGGGCTACAGTGAAGTGATTCTTCCAGTCCCCAGTGACTCCTGGAAGGGAGAACACAGACACTTAGATTAGAGCTAGTGACGGGGCTGAGGACTTCAGCACATCTCTTCGATCACGTCCTGCAAATCCACCCGACACACAGGCAGTCACTGGCATAGCTGAAGGACCCCTGAGAACCAACGGCCACTGACAGCCTTTCCGTGCCTGGGCGTCTGCATGTACACTTACCTCAGCAGAAGCAGTTCCTCTCCTCCAACTCTCTCCCGGCCCGTCCTGTAGAGAGTCCATCACCCACAAGCCTGGCTCTGTCTTCTGACACAATTAGAATCTCTCCCTTCTCGCCGTGTCTGTTTCTCCTGGCTCACACTGAGTCGACAGCACTTGTTATGAGGGTTCACATGAAAGATCATACTGCAGCGCGCAGTGTTTCTGTGCAGGTGTCTCAGTGAATATGGATGATTCCTAAGTCCGCACGTCTTGTAGATGTAAATTTCATTTTATATTTCCACATGACTCTTAAGAAATCCTGGTAAAACATTTGTTATTTGTTGCTAGGACTGTCATAAGAGACTGGCTGGGTGATTTGAGGAATAGAATTCGTTGTCTCACAGTTCTGGAGGTGGGAGACCTGAGCTTGTGGTGCTGGGAGTGTTGGGCTCTTAGGAGGGTGCTGAGGAAGAGCGCGTTGTAGTTCTCTCTCCTTGGCTGGAACTTGGACACCTTGTTCTGTGTCTGCCCATTGTCTTCCCCTTTGTCTGTGCCCTAATTTCCTCTCTGAAAAACACCATTCCCATTAGGCTATGACCCAACATTTTTGCATCATTTTAGCCTAACTGCCCACGTAAAACCTTCTGTTCAAATGCTCTTACTTCCAGAGGTCCTAGACCCTTCAACCTCCACAGGTCAGTTCTGGAGTGAAAACAATTCTACCCACTTATCTTGGTAATGAAGACATCCCATTAAACGTTGTATCCAATACCATTACTAATAATGGCAGAGACTGGACAGATCCTTCCACACTCTAGGTTTTCTGTTGACTTTGAATATAGAAGATCGAATGAGCCAATGGCATCAAGCTCTGAACAAACTTGGTTAGGTCTTGTAGTCAGGATTAAGAGATTCACCACTCTACCTTTAACAGCTTGGACATTGTAACTAGTTAGCTCGGGAATCCCTACCACATGTTGATTACTGTACATTAAACCAAGTTAATACTGGATATGTTATCTGCGATTAGTTCTTCTCTGTTCAGTTCACGATTACTGAAAAGACATAGAATTCTTATTCTGTGCCCAGCACTACCCTCTGGAATAAAAATGGACACACATAATACTAATTGGCTAATCAAAAAATAACTATTGCAATGCTTTTTAAGGATCCTCTAAAGCTAGGTGACAGGCTTTTTTATGAGCCTTGGTGCTAATGAGAGGGGGTGAAAATTTTAGGTGTGGGACCTTCTGGAACGAGATTAGGTCACTAGGCGTGTGTCCATCGAAGGGATATTGCCAGTCTTTCCCCTCTCCTCCTCCTCCTCCTCCTCCTCCTTTCCTCTCTCTCTTTTTCTCTGTCCCACCCTCTCTCTCCCTCCCTCCCTCCCCCTTTCCCTCTCTCTCTCCACCTCTCTCTCCGTCTCTTTCTCCCTCTCTTCTTTGCCACTGACAAACTTCCAGGACCCTGAGTCACACACAGCTGTCTCTACTTGAAGGCGTCTTCTTCAGGTAGTTTGTTGCATTGATGCAAACCTGACTGACCAGATGGTTATGCCTGCATCTTAAAACCAGTTTCACCCCCACTCATGAATGCTTTCCGTAGCTGCGATTCTGCTGAGAACAATTAGTATAGGCATTGCCCAAGGGGCGATAAAGGCATTTTTTTCTTGCAAGCTAGTAGGAAAACAGCCTCTAAAACTATGGAAATAAGCCAGCAGATCAAGCCTTTTTGAAGGCCAATGTTTCACAGATTTTCAGCATATTATGATTTAAATTAAAATTGCCTTTTAATAACGCATACATTTTTTAACTTTCAAGTAATCTCGTAACTGTACACAACTTCCAGAAAAACAGAAAGGCCCAGGACTGACCTGTGTAAGAAACCTAAATATTATCCCTTTTGTCCAGGTGAGTATTTCACAGCAGAGCAGCTCTCCTTTCTTAGGCTTCTCTGCCTTGAACCCCAAAGTCTTATTAAAGCCAGACAGCCCCACGCTCAGTCTGCAGCATCAAGGGCCTGCTCTGAAAGGTGTTCCAGGGCTACTCCATGATTGTTTTTCTTCTCTTTTTCTGGCACTGGGGATCGAACTCAGGACCTTGCACTGTGCCTGGCAGGCACAGTACTACTGAATTAAATACCAGGCCCTCACTGACTTCGATATCACATTTTTCATAGCAAATTAATATCCCACTATCGAACGGTCCACAATACGTAAAATGACACCCTGTGTAATCCTTGAGACAATTCAGGTATAAACTGTGATCGGGCACAGCACAGGCTGAGCAACAATGGTCCCGCCACAACTGGTAACGGCCCAATCACGCTTTCCCTTATGCCTGGGCTCCCTGTGCCACACTGCAAAGCCCAGGAGAATCTGGAGGAAAAGGCAAGTCAAGGAGAGGCGTCTGCTGGAGGAAAATATGAAAGACTGTTCTTACACAATTGTGTACCCTCTTCTGATGCATTCCCTTCATTTGTCTGTGAAAGATCCTCACTGGTGCCTTCCAATGTCCGTTTCTTTTAAGAAACTCTCTCTCGTTCTTTCAGCCATTCACACCATGTAAACCTATTTCTGCCAAATACTGACGCACAAAAAGAAACCTAACGATGAACAGTTTGGCCAGTCAGGTAGTCCTTTCTGTTGTACTTTAGAGAAATCTCGCCCCGCACAAGGTGGAGGCTGGAGCTGTGACGTCAGTTCCTCGGTGGCGCTGGTCTCTTCCGGGCCCTTCCTCACTGACATGAAGGGGACCGTCTTCTCGCCTTCTTTCCCCGTGCACAAATCTGTGTCCAAATGTCTTCTTGCAGGGCGTGAGCCATACTGGGGGAGGTCAAGTCCACAACGTCACGGTGACTGAACTGACTCTTACGGTACCTGGAATCCAAATGCAGCTACCCACGGAGGAGCCGGGGCGGACGGTTCCATCTGGACTCGGTAGGGGGCGCCATTCTGCACACCTCACTTCCCTTCCGGCCTCTTCCCTATCCAGGTCGTCGCACGCACGTCTTCCCAGGAGCTCCCTAATTTTCACCCATTTCAGCATCAGTTCCGGGTCCTCAAGCTCGGCCGCGTATCCCTCAGTCAGACACGGCTCGCCCTAGACGTGTGATTCGTGCTGAGAATATTCTTTGCCGGGGCCGCTGCTCTGCAGAGCACGGTGGCCGGGCCTGACTCAGCTGCTCCCACGGCTGCGGAAGGCTCCACGGGAGGGGAACGAGCGACCAGGCGGAATGGTGGAGCAAGGCCTGACGGAGAAGGAGATGTGTCTTCCTCCCCATCCCTTCCCCAGCCACGCAAGGTGCTCTGCAGACCTTAGCTCCGCTCCTGGCTCCAGTTACAGTGCAGCCCCTTCCACCTCCCCGTGCCCTTCCCTTATCTCTCCAGCCAGACCTCTTCTCCCATCAGGAAGAAGGCTGCACCTGGCCTCAGCGTTGTCTGCCTTTGTTCCTTTGTAAATTCTCTCATTTGTGGACCCGTCAGCTCTGCAGGCCACCACACACTTCTTCCCTAGCTGCAGAACTGTGAAAGCAGAGACGATGTCGGCTTCAAACATACAGTGGTCGACAAGCATAGGACAGATATACGCGAGCCTCACGAGAGAAACGCGAAAGCAGTCAGGGGCCATGGGACCCAAGCGCTCCAAGCCTACAAATTGCTCAGAAACTAATACTGGAGAAGAATCTTCATCTCACGCTGCCGCACCCCCGGCCCACTGGGTGGCAGCACTGCAGAATGGTTCAGGAGCTCGGGGAGCACCTTGGAATGGACCCCAGAGCTCACTGTCCCAGGGAAATAAACTAGACGACTGTTGGAGACAGTTTCTCAGTTGAAGAGATCTGCACACAGAGATGTGAGCTCAGGGCCCAGACAACTGCCTGGCTTCCTCCCTGACTGCTTTCTGACTACCTGAAGCGAGAAATGTTTTCTTGTCATCATGCTGTCTTCTTTCTGCTTGAGTAGAGGCTGAAAAGCAGCAGACCACGAACAGATACCTCTGAAATCATTTGCCAAAAGAAGTCTTTCTTCTTTTTACACTGTTCTCTAGGGTGTGTCGCAGAGATGAAAAGGAATTCAAGTTCCTATGTTTGAACGTCTAAGTCTTCACATTCTGTGCTAAGCAGAGGAAGGAATGTCCTCCGTGTACCCTGGCAGATTTTGAAAGCAGAGCATTGCTTCTTACCTTTCCTTTGAAGTAAGAAACCGCTTTTTAAATACTCAGAAGGCAATGTGCTGAAATTGGACATCTGATTTTCTTTCATGAAGTGAAAGGAGCTGTATTTGAGGACTAAATCGATTTCTTCTGGTGTTAACTTCTTTCCCAAGAACTGACAGATCTTCTCAACAACACTTCTTGTGTCCTAAAAGAAGAAAAAGCCAGAGCAAGGATCCGATGAGGAAGGACAAGGAGAACAGAAGAAAGGAGTTACTGAAGGGGGAGGAGATGGAAGAGGAGGAGAGACGTGATGTAGCAAAGGCAGAACAATTTAAATTAGAGCATGAGCAGGAGGAAAGCAAGAAAGGAAAAACCAAAGCCTGAACTGTATACATAATGCAGAGACGGAAACAACTCCCCAGTGTGGTCAGGCACAGCACACCTTCGAAACGGGATCTGGGACTTTCACAGACACTCTTAGAAACACAGACAGACAACGAAGCTTCAGTAAGGAGAGAGAGGCCCTGTGAGAAATTGACAAAGATTGGTACTTGCACCAAAAAATGACAGTTGTCCCTCAAGAAGGTTTGACAAACAGAGCATTTATAAGATCCATAACATGAGATGTCAATAATGACTAATTGCTGTAGATTACTCAGAGATTCTGATAACATCAGTCTTTGTAAGAAGGAAAATGCTGCCTTGTAATTGTATTCTATTTCATGGTCACACATTCCTGACCGAGAAGAAATCACAAATGTGGCAAGAGGTAAAGTTTCTTCTGAGTATTAAAAGGAAAATTGCGGGATGGTTGGGAGCTTGCACCTTTGGGTGCTCAGCTCAGGATCCAAGGCTTCTTGGTAAAGACAGAATTCATGCATCAAACTCAGAGGGCTGTACTGAAGTGGCCTCAGGAAGGCGAGGGGTCCCTGTTTCTCTCCTGGAGAGCAAAGCCTGCATCCATGTTGTATTCTCTTTGCCAACTGTCTTGTCACATGGTTTAATTTTCATTTACATCCTTTAAAAATGTGCAGTTTAGGGCCAGGGGTTTAGTTTAGCATCAGAGATTTGCCACCTGCCCCGAAGTGCAAGGTCCCATGTTTGATTCCCTGGTACCAACAAAAATTTTTTGCAATGGAATTTTAACCTTTGAATATATACCTTAACTTTAAAAATTCATAAAGCACGGTACCACATGTTACTATATATGCAACGTGTAATGATCATGTTTGGGTAATGGTCATATCTTTCAACTCAGACCTACCTCCTTTGTTTGCCCTGGGAACAGTCAAATTCCTTCCTATTAGGTCTTTCGAAAAATACAATTAACTGCTGTCAACCAGAGTCATCCTACTAGGCTACAGATCTCTAGAAGGCCTTCCGCCTGCCCAGCAGCTCCTCTGTGCCCACATTCGAGTTTCCTGAATCATCTGATGTGCCTCCCTGTCCTCTAGCACTTCATCTCTCTGAGTGTCCGCACAAACTCACTTCCTGCCTTCCCCTCTCCTCTCCTGGTGAAGTGGAAATTGCATCTGGACTCATTGCCGGAGCTCATCCGGTCATCGGCAGCACTACAAGCCCTGCCCGCAGAAACTGTCCCACCACCAGGAAGCATCCCACTGCCTCTGTGCACAGAAAAACCCTCTTACAGGTTGTGAATCGAAACAAAGAGGAAAACCTGAGGAAATCACAAACCATAATTACGGGAGAACCAGAAGGAGGGGAGCGAAGACCAGAGTGGTAACTCACTCTTACTGAATTTTCACGGGAAAGAGCGTATCAGAGGGTGTGCAGGTGGTGAGGAGAGGGTGTGTGCCCGCGTTCAGGATGCTGGTTACCTTTGTCAGCTCTTCGTAACTCACCACCAGGAAATTTTCACACTGTCTCCTGGACAGCCAGCCACGAATGTGCTCGAACCAGGATCCATATACCACTGCATGGGGGATGGAGAAGTTGTGACAGATTACAAACATATGCACTCACGGAGGATATGTGGTTCCTGTACCTGACCTACCTTTATCCTACTTCTGTACCTTTCCCTTCTGCCTGGCTCCTCCTCCCTGAGCTCTTGGATCTCTGCCTATTTGCAACACAACCACACCCTTGTCTCCTTCTATCCATCCTTTATTATTCCTCTGTTTGTACCTTGACTTACTGAAATGAAATGTTGCATGTAGTGTTTAAGCTTGTATGTCTATTTTTATTCACTCAAAATTATATTTTCCAGGAGCATCTATTTTCCTACAGATATCTCTAATTTTTCTTACTGGATTTCTCTGTAACATCCCATTATGTATAGATACCAAGTTTGATGTATCCAACCATCTCTTGAAGGATATACGGGCTGCTTCCAAGATTTAACTTTCATGAATCGCGCTACTGGAAACACTGCTGTGTGTGTATTGGTGTAGTGGGATGTCTTGAGTTCTTCGGGGAAAAAAACAAAAACCAGGACAGCCGAGTCCTATGGAAGTTCTCATGTTAGTTCTTTGAGAAATCTTCATACTGATTTCCACAACGGTTGTACTGCCATACATTCCCACCAACAATGTAGGAGGATTCCTTTTTCACCATAGCCTCATCAGAATTTCTTATGTTTTTATTTCTTGATGATTGCTATCTGTTCTGGAGGAAGATGGAATCTCAGTGATGTTTTAATTTGCATTTCTGTAATGGCTAGAGATGATGAACATTCGTTCCTATATTCAGTGTCCGTTTAGACTTTAACAAGCATTTAGGGTAAACAGGCACAAGTAGAATTCAGTTCTGTTTCTTCTACCCAACGAGTTACTTGGGAAAATGACACATGAAGTGCTTGGCCCTATAGTTCTGCATGACATCTTGTCTAAATTTAACACCAATACCACACTTGGACTTTCCAGGTGTCCCAAAGTGCACTGGACACCATGGGTCATGGTCACGCCCTTGGCTCTCTGCTGGGAACGTAGCAGTCAAACCCGTGGTTGGTGTCGTCATGATTCCAGGGAGCTTTGTTATACACTGAGAGGCTCTCAACTGATTCTGTTGACAGAGCCTCAGTGTAGACAATGGTATCTGTGCCTCAGTCCTCCGGGGAGTACAGCTTCAGGTGCCCTTGGAAGTACTGTGCTACAGGCACGACCTGGGCCCTCAATGACCAAAACCAGCCAGGGATGCTGCCCAGGAAGTCTGCACAAGTTGATGGGGTGCAGGTGAATACCCGCAGTTGAAAAGTGTCAGTTTTCCTCAAAAGGACACCACTTTCTCAGTCTGTCGTCCTCAATGTGCAATTCTTATCACCCACTGTGACATGAACTTGAATACAAGAGTAAACGCCTCTATCAGCATGGAGTTCCGTAGTTCCTTTTCACTGCATTCTTGAAAAGTTTGAACATCATGGGATAGAGATGTGGTGCTACGTAAGCCACTTGTATGGCTGTCCTGGTGATTTTGCATTTAGTTCTTCATGTTGTCCTTCAGGAGAGTTAATATCATGCCAGTCACACAGAGGCCTAGCATTTTCATAACCATCTTTAACAACTTCAAGAATATCACCATTTGGATTCATGGTGCCTATGTGTCATTTTTCGGGGGTGGGGTTGTTACAGTTTTTTCTTTTTTCTTTTTGTATGTTTGTTTCTTTGTTTGTCTGTTTGTTTTTGCCAGTGCATTTCTGATGAGATAGACTTCCTTTTCCCCCAAACAGTAAAGAGTGCTGACTAACATTCTAATTAAAATGCCACTCTTGTAGAATCGATCCACAAAGAACCGAACCTTGCCACTGCTGACAGAATCACCCCAAAACTCCCTTTTTATTCAATCATATCTGGGCCATAGTGGGAGTCACGGCGTTGGGTCAGTTTCTGATCCACATCATAGTATCTGGAAAGCATGCAGAGGGCATTCCAGGGACAACCTGCATAAGGGAAGGCAAACTGCTTGCATCTAGGGAAGACAAGCTGCATAAACATCTTCAGCATCTTCAGCACTTTTGCCCTTCAAAACAAGAAGTTCACGAAGACTCTGGCTACACCAGCTGTGGACCAGTTGAATAGATGGCGTCCTGAGAAGATTACCTAGAAACAGATGCATTTCTTTAATTATATTTGCCATCTTAACAGGCAACTCTTACTGAAGAAACAAAAAAGGGGTCTTTTTGCAAGCATTCACTGACCCAAAGTCCAGCAACTGCTCCATGAAGAGTGGTGACACTGAGAGAAGTGCAAGTAAAATTCCCGGAATTGTGGCTATTCCGCGTGGCCCAGACCCCAAGTGCGAGGTGAGGCTGTGGCTGTTGCTGGTGTGGAAAATGCACGACTAGGTCCGTGTAACCTGTAAGCTTCGTTCAGAAGAACAAGGCCCCAGCCCAGCTTGCATCTCTGTGTGGTAGCCCACGGCACCCAATCGGTTTCTTCTCGTTTGTAAATTGGTACCATTGGCAGTGATGGCTGACACTGACAGCATTGACCTATCTTTGCCATATTATTTTCATGTCTTTTTGCTCCCTTTCTTCCTCTTCTTTTTAATTGCTTCCCTTGCCTGGCAGATTCATTTTAATGTGCAATGTAGTCTTGAAATTGTTGGTTTCATTATAGTTTTCTGAAATCTCCTTTAAATGTTTTTTTGAGTGCTGGATTAGTCACCATGAATTTGGTATGGTGTTCTTTATTATAGAAGTATTAGTTCTCCGTGAATTTTGCAGGATAACTTTGAGGGGTGCATCAGTCTGGTTCAGAGGGTTCTTGCTCGGGCTTGAAAATATGATACTCCTAGCTCTCCTTGACCTAAGAGTTTGTGCTGAGAGGTCTGCTGTGATTCTGATGGGTTTTCTTTTATAGCTGATTGATTTCTTTTCTCTAACACCTTTTAATACTCTGTTCTTGTGTTGATTTTGTGCAACCCTGTTGTATGACCTAGTGTAGTCTTTTTCTGAACCTGATTATTTGGAGTTCTATATTCATGTTTATCTGTATCTCAAATTCTTTTTCCAGGCTTGCACAGTTTTCTTCTATTACTTCCCTGGAGAGCTTTTCTGTGTCCTTTCTCCTACATTCTCACTCTTTAGTAGCTCCAATTAATCTTCTCTTAGTCTTCTTTGCTTTGTCTGGCAGCCCTTGGATTCAGTTTTTGTGTTCCCTGGCTATTTCTAAGAGGTCTGGCATCTAATGATCACCAACCACAACCCTGTCTCCCAGATCTGATATTCTATCTTCACATTGGTTGACTCTGCTGCTTATACTTTCAGTAAAATTCCAGTTATCCTGGATGCCTACTTGAGTCTGTTTTCTCAATCTCAGTTCTTACTCTCAGGCATTCATGGTGCTCATGTCATTCCTAAGAACCTCTGTTTTTTAAATCTGTATCTACTCTATACTCACTAATCATTCTTTATTAAGGTTATTCCTGCTTATTATCTCTGTTTTGTTTTTGCCTAGTAACTTACTGACCTGCTTTATTTCTTCTGCTCCTACCATTTCAGAAAGTTTGGCTGGGTGGCTCTTGATTTCTTCCTCCTCAATGTCCCCTTGATTTGCTTTGGCTGAGTTGGGTGTTATGGGTTGCATGTTGCTTCCACGTTTTCTCACTTTCTGGTGAGTTTTTGTTGTTGTTTACTTTTCTCCCGCATCAAGGCTTCTAAATTGCTTATGGTAGCTTAATTACTCATATGTTAATTACTCATTAACAAATAACTACTTTTCTGAGATGTCTTCTAGGTGTAGCTGATTTTCAGTTTTAAATTTGTCCCAGGATCCTTTGTCTTCAACTTATTAGTGAAAAGAAATTGCTACCTCTTTGACCTTGGATCTGATTCCTTGCTACGGGACTGTGGCACTGTTTCCCAGCCCTGGACAATCTACGTATTTGCATAAAAGGAAGATCAACAGGTTATGTGATCTATGTCACCTTAGCTAAAGTAGTAGAATCAGTACTAACAATAGCATCAAGCACTGGCTAGGAAGCGACAAAATGTTCCTGCCTTTAACCATAGCCTGAAGATGTATATTTATATAAAACATTGTAAGACAAATCACAAAATTATACACACTAAATAATCTTCAATTGAGAAATTTTACCATGAGGAGTGAAAAGTTAAAATGATAAGAGGAAAAACACAGAAATAATAGAACAGAAAAATATTGAAGCAACGCTGAAGGACTAAGCAAGATTATCACAGCCTTGGGAAGCTAGTGAGGAAGATGGGTGGGAAAGAAGGGAACAAAACAAAGCATAAAAGCTAAAAACCATGTTCACATTCACACACACACACACACACACACACACACAAAAGCCAGGAGGGCCAGGGATTCAACTCAGTGGTTCTGCCACCTGCCTCAACAGCAGAAGGACCCCAGTTCGATCCCTGGTACAAAAAGAAAAGAAAAGAAAAGAAAAAAGTCAGGGAAATTAGTGCATGCATTTAATTCTGGCACTTCTGGGGCTGAGAGAAGTATTGTCATGAATTCAAATCCTGCCTGGAACACACAGTGAGTTCAAGACCATCCTCAATGTTACAATGAGACCTTATTGCAAAAACACCCAACACCATAACCACAACCACCACAACAACTGCAAATGCATAAGGAAAAAAGGAAAAAGTTCTCCATGATTTCAAGGCTGTGGTTATCTCTGGCATCTACAGTTTTGTGACAGTGCTCAATTCAGGGCAGGACTCTGCCATCCCTAGTTGACAAAGGAGGTAGTCAGATCTTATGCAGATCCATGCTGCATAATCCCAGCAAGCCCAGTAAGAAAGTTCAGTGTGGGGTGCCAGTTCTGGTACTTACAAGTACATACAAGTTCTGGCTAGATGACCTCTGGTCATGGGGTTAGGGCCTGAGGCATTTAGGCTAGGACACTCTTTCTCTTCCTGGCTTGACCACAGCCATACGTGGACATCTCCCATGGTTGTCCTTCACCCAGGTGCTGTGATCTGAAGTCCAGCAGTGGCTGCTC